TTTTTTTTTTGTTTTTTGTTTTTTAAACTGAGGAGCCCAGAACTGGACAATACTCCAGATGTAGCCTGACCATGGCAGAGTGGAGAAGGATCACCTTCCTCAACCTGCTGGCCATGCTCTCTGCAACACACCCTGGGATACACTATTCTTCTTGGCCACATGAGCATACTGTTCACCGTACCTGCTGTCCACCAGAGCCAGTAAGTCCTTCTTACAGCTACTTTCCAGCAGGTCAGCTCCTAACCTGCACTGATGCATGCAATTACTTCTCCCCATGTGCAATACTCTACACTTGCTCTTGTTGAATCTTATCGGATTCCTCTCTGCTCAGCTTACCAGTCTTTCCAGGTCTTGTTGAATGGTAGCACAATCATCCCGTGGTGTGTCAGCCACTCCTCTCAGCTTTGTATCACCAGCAAACTTGCTGAGGATGAACTCCATCCCTTCATCCAGGTCACTGATGATGCTCAGTAAGATTGGGCCCAGTAACCACCCCTGGGGAACATCATTAGTTACAGGCCTCCAACTGGATTCTGCCACTGATTGGAGCTATCTGAGCTCTTTCTGTCAGTGAGTTCTCAATACACCTCATTGACCTCCACTCATCTATCCCACATTTGACTTGACCTCATTACAAGGATGTTGTAGGAGAAAGAGTCTAAAGCCCTGCTGAAGTCAAGGTACACAACATCCACTGCCTTCCCCTCATCTACTCAGATGGTCATGACAGCATAGAAGGCTATACCAGATTGATCAAGCATGATTTGCCCTTAGTGAATCCATGCTGACTATGCTTGATAACCTCCCTTTCTTCCACTTGCTCGGAGATGCCTTCCAGAATAAACTGCTCTGCCACCTTCCCAGGGACATACGTGAGGCTGATGGGCCTGTAGTTTTACGGGTCCTCCTTCTTGCCCTTCTGAAGACGTGAGTGACATTGGCTTTCTTCCAGTCCTCAGGCACCTTTCCCATTCCCCATGACCTTTCAAAGATGACAGAGGGTAGTGCAGCAATCACTTCTGCCAGCTCCCTCAGCACCTATTAGTGCATCCCATCAGGGCTTGTGGATTTGTGTGTATCAAGTTTGCAAAGACAATCTCTGACCAGATCCTCATTGACCAAAGTGAAGTCTTCCATTCCCCAGACCTTCTCTCATCTCCAGTGTCTGGGATTCCTGAGGGGCAGTCTTAGAAGTAAAGACTAAAGCAAGAGAGGCATTCAGTAACTTCACCTTCTCAGTGTCCCTGTTACCAGGGCACTCACTTCTGTCAACAGCAACCCACATTTTCCCTGGTCTTCCCTTTGCTATTCAAATACTTAAATGAAGTCCTTCTTGTAGTCCTTAACCTCCTTTGCCAGATTTAATTTCAGGTGAGCCTTAGCCTTCCTTGTTGTATCCCTGTGTTCCCTGCCTACGTTCATATATTCCTCCCTCATAGCGAGACCTCTTTTCCACATTGCACTGACCTTCTTCTTCCACTTGAGTTCTTCCATGAGCTTTCTGTTCATTCATGTAGGTCCTCTGCCACCTTTGCAGAATTTCTTTCTCTTACAGATGCACTGAACTTGAGCTTGGAAGAAGTGCTGCTTGAATGTTAACCAACTCTCTCCAACCTCCTTGCCTCCAAATGCTCTAATTACTGGGATACCTCCAAGTAGGTTCTTGAAGTGGTCAAAGCTGGCTCTCCTCAAGTTCAGAGTGGTAATCCTTTAATCCTATTTAGTACCTTTCTTCTTCCACGTAAGGTTTTGAACTTCAGTATCTCACAATCACTGCATCTCAGGCTGCTCCCAACCATCATATAAACAAACCCTTCCCTCTTTGTGAGAACAAGGTCCAGCAGCACACCTCTCCTCACTGGCTCCTCCATGATCTGCCACAAAAAGTTATCTTCATCTCATTGCAGAAACCTCCTGGACTGCGTGTTCATGGCAGTGATGATTTCCTGCAATTATCAGGGTGCTTGAAGAATCAGCACCTGGGACTGTGAGACTACTTTCAGCTGTCTATAGAAGGCCCCATCAATTTCCTCCTCCTGATCAGGCAGCCTGTAGTAAACATCAACAACGGTGTCACCCGTATTAGTCTATGCCTTAGTTCTCACCCACAAGCTCTCCACTCCACTCATTCATCAGTCATCCCTACATGGAGCTCAGTGCATTCCAGTTTTTCTTTCATACAAAGAGCAATTCCACCATTTCACCTTTCTGGCCTGTCTTTTCTAAAAAGGACATATTCATCCATGACAGCATTCCCAGTCACATGAGCTGTCCCACCATGTCTCTGTGACAGCAGTGAAATCACGGCCCTGTGACTGCACATAAATCTCCTGTTTCCTCCTGTTTATTCCCCACGCTGCATTGGTATACAGGCACTTTAGAGAAGAAAAGGGAGCAGAGGGTGCAAGTATCCCTAGAGGGAAGCAAGAGGATCCCCTGTAGCTATACACACCTGTGAGGCAGCTGGCATTGTGGCTCTTGTCATGCAACACAGCTAAAAAACATCCACCACTATTCTCGTTGGCCTGGTTCATTCCCCAGTTGATTGCAATGGGGTTTTATAGTCTTCTTGGATTCTACCCATGTTCTGCTTTACTGCATCCTTCATGCCCATGTGAAAGAGCAACAGGGGATAGTAGTCTGTGCTCTTGACAATCTGTGGTACCCTCTCAGTGATGTCCCAGATCTTGGCTCCTGGGAAGACCTCTCAAGACTCCCATTTACATCAGTTTGCTACAGATAAGTCTCATTTTTAAATATCTCTGTACATAATAATATCAGACATTTAGTTCTCCAGTGTTTAGTTTTATTATTATACTGAGATCTTTAACCAATACACTCTTGAGTCTTGTCCTTAATGAAACATATGCAACATCCTGAAGTTTTTAAGAGCTCAGATGTTTTAGAACTGAGGCTCAGTACTGTACGTATGAAGAGCAGTGAATACATCCAGCAGCCTCTCTGAGAGTTTGTACTCATGGCCCTGCACTTATTATGCCTGAAGCCAATCCTGCTACAAAGTACTGTGTCTTTCAAGCAGATGTCAAATGTAGACAGGCAGGATGTTCTCCCCATACTCTGTGTTCCACTATGGAATGAGCTGTCTTCATAATTCTAGTCTAAACTAATACATGAATTTTCTCCTCTTTGCTTTCTGTTAGATGTTAAACTACCAATTATATCAAAACATCATTAGTAACCTCAGATTAGCACACTAAAAAGTCTGTGATCAAACACGACAAGCCATATCTAAATACTTTCCTCAACTACTTCTACACCCCCCCCTGTGTGAAACATACTTACCATGGATACTGCTTACCAAACTGGAGCTGTAGCGCATGCAGAATTTTATCCTGTGTGTCAGCATCACGAACATGAAGAACATTTTCACCTAGATGAAAATAACAAAATAGGACGAGTCACCTACTTAAATGATGTTAGAGGATAAGAACTGCTTTACAAATGAATAAGGAAGTAATCATTTTTAGTTCTTCTGAGCAGGAGACTCCAGCCAAATCAACGTTACTCTTACAGAACATGAAGGGTACAGTACTAGTTTTCAACAGAATTCTGTAAGTACAGTGAAAACCATAGACAAGTGGTCAATCTGCATGACTGAAATACCACAATACAGATTTATATATACAATACACAATTCCTAATGTGGTGATGGGTTCCTGTTTTTAAAGTGAAAAATGCATACAAGTGAACATGGAAGTAGCTATAAAGGATAACAATTAGTCCCCTCTCTGCTAAATGGGATGCACTGCAAATGGAGATCTATATTTAACTTGTCTACAGATAAATGCCTCATTATCTCATCACTAACGTGATACAGAAATATGGGAATAGCCAGCAAAGCTTTAAGAGGTCAAAAATTAAGTTTTACTGACACTGCAGGATGGTCTCTGTAAAGCCTTTGTTTTACTTTATTAAGTGAAACAAAAAACCTTCAGAACTACAAAAAAATTAAAGTAGTTATGCAAACACTTACCTGTTTCTCTTCCTGTCTGGCGTGTCCCCAAGTTGATAACAGGTGTGCCAAATGCTCCCACTTCTCTGACACCACAACTGCTGTTACCAATCATACAACCAGCATGGGCAACTAGCTGAATGAACTGGTCAAATGGGACATGCTTCACTGCCCGAAAATTGGGATGATGTTCAATGCCCTTTTTTCTCATCACCCGAACCATCTCTTTGCTTCCTACACAAAAGCAAAAGACATGAATAAAGGAAAAAAGTTCAATGAGAGTCTCAACACACAAAGAAGTGAACAGCAGCCTACTGAATTGTCACCTCTGGGCTGTTTTTGTTCCCTTTCAGGCACATAAACTTAAGTTTAATCCCCAAAATCATTTCAACAAATCTAACATAATTTTTCAGTTAGTGCAGGAGGCATTGCATGTTGCTTCCATATGTAATACAGTTTCCCTTCATCTTCCTTCCACACTGAAAAGCTGTGATGTCCTTCAGCAATTTGGACAAGGACAAGTTGCAGTGGATGCAAGTCTGACGCTGAGATCATCCAGCTATTTCCATCTGGCTGGAGATTCTGGGAAAAAGCCCTCTGTAAGAACCAATGTATGCTTCACAACTAGTTATCCGTCCTTCTGTCACGCAGGCATTTTACTCACCTGCGTCTACATTGGGGAATAGAACAAGCGTTCTCTTGTTAAAGGAAATGAGCGCATCTAGTGTCAGTTCAAACATCTTTATGGAATGTTTAATATCTGTGGTTACAGGATGTTGCAGAGCAACTATATAATCTCTGGGTTTAACATCTTCACCTGTTCAAATGGAAAAAAGAAGAAAAGGGGTTTTTGTTTTTTTAGTAGCAGAGAACAGTAAGAGGAGGGAGTGATGTGACAGCTTATTATTTACCTCTCTAGGCACGACTCGTAACTTTTACTCTCCAAAGCTCAACACACTGTTAACTTTCAGGCCTAGATCTCAATCTTTGCAGGTCTAAACCAGAGCTGAGAGCTGTTCTCACATCTCCCTGAGTCTGTAATCACATGAAAGCTTTGAAGCTGCTCTTAACTTTCACTGACGGCAGCAAGAAATGAATCTTCCTGAAGGGCTGCTTCACAACAGGAGATGAGTAGGTTTGTGATTGTCATTATCACTCATTACTTGGGTTTTCCGCCAGCTCTCCATCATCATGCAAAGACTTTATTCCTAAAGCTATACTTGTTTTTGCGTATTTATTAAACAACTGATCTGCTACACAGTCACCTACTAATCTAATAAGATTCCATTTTCCAAGTACTCAGGCTACCGTGCATTACAGGAGACTGCTTTGTCAAATTTAACTAGAAAGCACAAAAAAATCAACATTTACAGGAAATACTTCTAAGTAAATCAAAAGTGGTAAGCACATATGGCCCTATTACAATAAATTCTGCAAAGGAACGTTCAGAATGCAAATTTGCTCAATTCTTTTTAGATTAATTCTAAATAGCTCTGATTCTCTTCTGACACATTCTTTACACCATAATAAAAGTGTTCATATAGGAAAAAGTCTACTTTTAAATTGTTTGCATCAGAGAAATTACCAATTTAAGGTCTTGGTGGTGGGTTTTTTTTTGTTTTGTTTTGTTTTTTTTACTTTGTTAAAGGACTAAATTTTCTGCTAAGACTGATTTGCAGCTTTTCTTACATACAGAATGAATACAGAATAAAGCCAAATGTACAAATAAAGCTATGGTAGATACTGGTAGCAAATACATTCCTTCTCGTTGTTTGTTCTTTCTTTAGAAGAAATACTTTCATAATAATCCCCAATTAAAACAAAACCCACTACGAATAAGTCTGTCCTTCTTTGTTTCCCATACATTTCCTAGAATCACTGGGCAATAGATCCCCAAGGCAGCACAGACCATGGATTAAGAACTCAGTGAGTTTGTCTAAAGTCATTTGAAAACCATAAAGAAGTGGATGCTCACCTAGCCATACACGTATAACACTCATGTAGTCCTTATTTTTGGCAGAGAGAAGCTTGTCATATGAAGGACAGCCTGCTAAAAGGATGCGATCGTGGTCTTCACACATGGCTATCAAATGCTGCTCTGCACTCCTTGTGCAGCACACGTGGTAATGGGCAAGTTTGGTGATAGCATGTCTAATAGAGTCGTCAATGGTCCCACTGACTTCCCCACCTTCAATGTGAAGAATGCGAATATTCATCAGGGCTGCAGATGTGGCTAGTGCCAAAGCATCAAATCTGTCACCATGAACTATCATTATGTCAGGTTTCAGGCGGTTCAGGACATCTGGTAACTTCACTAATGCGAGGCCTACTGATTCCACCATGGCTGCCTCATCCTCCCCTCTCACAATAGTGTGCAATCTTGTATGAATATCGAAGTCATCTTGTTCAATCATGCGATAAGTGTTACTAAAGATAAGAGAGAAAGGGTTAGAGGAAATAGAACTTGGATTTACAGCAACACAACTTGACAATATAATTGCACACCAGAACACTAGAATAGTTGTACTATGTTTGAACAAAGGCCCGCATATCAAGTCTCCCTCACTAAGGAAAGTAATCTGGGAACACTTTAGTCTATATAAAGATCATTCCTCCTACTCCAATTCCATCAAGTTTTCTGTACACCTTTAATAAAAAGTTTTGCTAAGCATGTTCCAGAACCCCTAGAAACTAAACTCTTTATTCATGTCTTTGCAGGGTCTACTGGAAAACTGATATGGCTCATTTTCTTTTCTGAAAAGATATGCCAGTTCTTCACCAATAAACAGACCTTGTTGGATGAATGTATAAATACAACAGAAAAAAATGCAACGCTGAAGACTGCTGCTTGCTTAAACCTAAGAGAGAAAAGAAAAAAAAAAAAGTTTTCCCATTTTGTCTTCAACCTATCTACATTCACTGCTCTTATCTAAAGGTTACACTTATAAATTAATTTAAATCAGACTGGAACAACAAAAAACCCTCTTCAGCTAGCGAAGCAGGACTGGCTTATTTTTCCAGCCTGACCATATGCTAACCTGACAACAGGGGTTTTTTTGTTTGTTTTTTGAATCGGGTTAGTTTTAAGGTATTGAATTCACATTACCATATTATTGGATGAAAACAATGGCCAGTGCAAAGCAAGAAACAGAGCACAGTACTGAGAATGGGCAGCAGTTACATTTCCTCTCTTTGCAGTCTGATGTAATAAAACTACCCATGACCTCACAAAAAATCACACCTTAACTTATCATGTGCCAAAATTGCTAGTTGGGAAGCCCAGAAAGTGCTTTTACTTGAAGATATTCATGACATTTCTAATAGTTTAACAGTGCTCGAATGCTGAGACCGTTATGCTAAAACCTTACTTCGACTTGCAAAGTGTTTTCTTAACAGTTTAATTCTCTTAGCCCAGTTTGATAAAGGCATCTGGAGCAAGATCAGACATAAAGAACCCCAGCAAAAGTATACACATTCTTCCTTCTGCCTTCCTCCTTTCCCTCAGCAGATAGGAGAATGCTTATCTGGGATATAGGAAGTTCTTACAAAGGAAAGGATCAGAAACAAGACATTCCATCTACCAAGGCAGGTAATGTGACTGCTCACTTACACATTATTAGGAAGGGGACCCTAATCTCTCCTGCCAAATGATATCTAATACCTCTCCTTCCTCTACCTCTAGTCACTCATTTTGTAAGAAAGAGATTATCCTACGCTGCTTTCTTCCCCTGCAATCCTGGAGGTGAGAACTAACAGTACTTACCTGCAATACCAGTTATACAAAAACTTTATCCAGTTAAGTATGTAAATTACAAGAGCTTCAACTTAGAATGACTGCAAGTTATCTTTTTGCCACGAAAATTCAAAATTGTAACACATTTTCATTTGACGATAACCACATTCTAAGGTAAGTCTGAATGAACTGAATTGCTCACTTTATTAGAAACTGTGTTGAAAACCTCAGTTCCAGCACTTACACAAAACTTTCTAAAATTCCAAGACTGATTTGTTTAAAAAAAAAAAAAAAAAAAAAAAAAAAGCAATCTTAGTAGAAGCTGAAAATTGAGATAGAATATAACGTCTGAAAAATGATTTTTAAAATTTTGTTATGTGCTTTCATGATTTCAAGCATTTTGTGACCTAGCATTCATGATTGTACTGCCAACACATCAGAAACAGAATGAGAATGGGAGAGATACAAAAATCCACCTTACCCATAATCATCAATCAAGTGGGAACCAAGCACTACGACATCAAGCTCAAAGAACTGTGGTTCTGCCTTAATACCAAACATAATAGGAGCTAATTTTGAATAATCAGCACGGTTGCAGGTAGCAACACAAACACGAAGTTTGTGGTTGTTTCCATTCTTCTCCATGTCTTCTTTTTGTTTCTGTTTTGAAAGATTCTTGAAATACTGTTCCTAAAAAATAAATGAATAAATAAATAGAAACCATTAGTAACAATGTTATAGCAAATAAATGGCACACGTTATGAATAGCATATGTAACTGTAGCCCATAACTATAGACATATACTGCCTTACCCACTGCTAGCAGACAACTGATATCTTACAGTACTTAACATTAAAAGATTTCAGAAAATAAAGAGTAGGGTTGTTCTTTTCATTTATTTAGAACTCACTATTTTAACACATTTTCTTCTATTGGTAATTCACATATTCTATACAAATAATATTTAAATACTACAGAGTTCAATTGTAACTCTTAAATTCTGGAACACTGAAAAAGGGAGCAAACAGCGTAGAAAAACTACAAAGCTGTGGTCAACTTGTGCAGGTAGAAAATTGGAATGGCCAAAGCTCAGCTGGAAATCAATTTAGCTATTGCAGTCAAAGACAATACAAAATGCTTTTATAAATGCATCAACTGCAAAAGGGGGATTAGGGAGAACCTCCATCCTTTATCAGACATGAGGGAAAATGCAGTGATGGAAGATGATGACAATGTTAAGATACTTAATGACTTAATGATTAAGTTATGGTTAAGATACTTAACCATACTTAAGCACTGCAATAGGCTCCCCAGGGAGGTGGTTGAGTCACCATCCCTGGATGTGTTTAAAAACTGTTTGGATGTGGTGCTCATGGACATGATTTAGCAGAGGGTTGTTAGAGTTAGGGTAGTATGGTTAGGTCGTGGTTGGACTCAATGGTCTTTAAGGTCTTTTCCAATCTGAGTGATTCTATGACTTTTTGCCTGCTTTTTTTAGGAAGGCCAACTGTTCCCAGGATACACAACCCCTCTGAGTTGAAAGATGGTGACAGGGAACAAGATGAAGCACCTATAGTTCAGTGGGAAACAACAGATAACCTATTACATCTTTTTAATATTCATAAATTCAAAGGGCTGGATGGAATTTATTCATGGGTACTGAAGGAGGTGGTGGAAGCACTCACCAAGCCATTCTCAAAAATTTGCTGACAGTCCTGGCTAACTGGGAGGTCCCAGATGACTGGAAGTCAGTGAATGTGACTCCAGTCTAAAAGAAAGGCAGGAAAGAGGATTAAGGTAGCTACAGCTCTGCCTGTACACATCTTGGTACTGGGAAGGGTTATGGAGCAGATCCTCTTGAAAACTGTCAAACAGCAGACATGGAACAACTGAGAGATCAATGCAGCCAGCATAGCTTTATGAAAGGCTGTGGATGCTGTCTATTTGAATTCTAATAATTCTAAAGTGTTTGACACCATCTCCCACACTATTCTCCTGGTGAAACTGGCTACTCATGGCTTAGACAGGTGTACAGTTAGCTAGGTGAAATGACTGGATGGATGGGCTCAAAAGGCAAACAGAAGTCAGTCCAGTTGGTGGCTGATCAGCAGTGATATTCTCCAGGGATCAGTCGTGGAGCTAGTTTTATTTAACACTTTTATTATATATCCACTTCCAGAGGAAGAAGGATCAAGTGCACCCTCACTAAGTTTGCTGATGACATCAAGTTAGGCAGGCACGCGGATCTGCTTAAGAGTAGGAAGGATTTACAGAGGAATCTGGTTAGACTAAATCAATGGGCCAAGTCCAACTGTATGACATTCAACAATACTCAGCGAGTTAAATCTATCTGGAAACCAATCACCAGTAGGGTTTCTCAGAGCTCTCTTTTAGGTGCAGCTCTCTTCAAAGTTTCTGTAAATAACTTGGTTGCAAGACTGAAAGGAAGTCTAAGTGAGTTTACTGATGACACTAAATTGGAAAGAACTGTTGATTCCCTTGAGGGTAGAGAGGTCTTGCTGGGAAACCTTGACAAACTAGAGTTCTGAGCAAGCACCAGCCACGAGAAGTTTAAGAAGAGCAAGTGCCAGATTCTGCACGTGGATAAGGTAATCCTGGTTAGATGCAGACTGGGACACAAGAGGTTGAAGAGCAGCTCCATGGAAAGGGATCTGGAGGTTCTGACTGATGACAAGTTGAATGTGAGCCAGCATTGTGTACTGGCAGCCCAAAGGGCCAACCACACCTTGGGGTGCAGCAGGCCCAGTGCTGCCACCAGGTGAGGGGAGCGGCTGTCCCCTCTGCTCTGCAAGGATATTAAGTTACAGAGAAGTGTTCAGAGAACAGCAATGAAACTGGAGACTAGAAGAGTTATGAGAGTGACTGAGAGACTTGGGCTGCTTCATCTGGAAGAGGCTGAAGTAAGACCTCATCTTTCTCTGGAAGGACCTGAAAGGAGGTTGCAGTGAAGAGGGTGTTGGTCTCTCAGGTGATAAACATAAGGAAAAAAAAACCACATGTTGTGCCAGGGGATTTTTAAAATAGACATTAGGAAGAATTTCCTCCTTTAGAGTGTGCTCAAGCATCGATACAGGCTGCTCAGAGAAGTGCTGCAGTCCTCATCACTGGAGGAATTTAAGAGGCGTTAGAGGCATAACTACAGGAGCTGGTTTAGCAACCAGACGTGGTAGGTCAGGCTGCTGATTGAAATTTACGATCTTGAAGGTCTTTTCCAATATAAATAATTCTATAATTCTAAACAGTAGGATGACTTTTCCCTATTCCAATGGAACTTTCTAGCTAAGAAAATTATTGGCACAAAAATAAATCAAAGAAAAAAAAAATCTGTTTTAGAACTACAGAATGGAACAAACTGCTAAGAGATACATTCACTGACAGGCTCCGTGAACAAAAGGAAAGTTTTTGCTCAAATCAGTTTATGTATCTGTCAAACACACTTTGGTGAAATACAGTGAGTTAAATATTGACTCCTAATCCCTTTCATACTATGTTGCGGGGCAAAGTACATCAAGATATTAAATAATACAACATTGGGTTAAGTTACAGTAAAACAACAATTTTCGGAGGCAATAATGACAATAATCAGTAGTTGATCTGGAGTCTATTTTTGATTGCTGTTGCTGTTGTTTATTTTTAAAAAAGGATTCTTAACATCTTAACAATTAAGATGCCCCAGGAATTGAATACTTTTTTTAATTAAACAAACAAAACAACAACAACAAAAACAAAACAAAAAGCAAACATCAGCAGGTAACGTAGCAAGACATTTACTCTAATGGACTCTTCTAACCTATTAAATAGCTGATTAAACTTCGTAATCCTGTTTAATATTTACCTGCCCTATGTTTACCATTTTACCTTGCTCTTTTCGGTTATTTCAGAAAATGGGGAAAAAAAAAAAAAAAAAAAAAAAGGTTAAGAGAGAAAGAAAAATTCATTAAAAAAATATAGAGGACCCAATTTACACCTCTGCCTCCCTTTCTCCCCTCAACAGAAATCACCATTTTGGTAGGAGAACATCAGACCAGGTATGTTTTTGTAGTTCTCTTTCTGAGAATAACTGGATTTTAAATAAGTATTATGCTTGGGGTAAGAAATTTAATGCTATGTCAGATTTTTACTGCATTTTAGTGGCAAGTAAACTAGAGGTGACTTTTCCCAGCTTAATGCAGAAGGATGCTCCTCTCTGACACAGATATAGCAGTATCAATCTCTGTACTCGTTTAGTTAGCTAGGGAAGCTCTTCCCAAGCAGCTGCTGTGTAAGCACAACAATAACACTGACTGATTTCATGCTCCTTTAATTTTTGGTATTTACAGGGCAATGGAAGTTGGCTGTGGGGAGAAGAGAGAATTACTTCCGCAAGGTCTGAGCCATGATGGAAGGATCAAATTTTGTACTTTCACAGAAGACTTAAGGTCAGATGACAGCCAGGGGTTACATGCTGTGCACTATACACAAATAATGCAAAAAGAAATAGGTTTTTAGCTTTGTCACATTCTGACATCAATATAATTTTCCTTTAGTTGATTCTCTATTACTGACACTATTGCACAGATATTCCTCCACGTTCACCTTATAAATGGGGGAAAAAAAAAATCTCATTTTTCAGTAAATTTTTAAGACAAAGTCCATTAGGCTATTTTAGCATCCCACCCTCGTGACAATTAAAAAATTCATCAGTTTTTCCAAGTTCTCCCTATTTTTCATGCATATTACATTTTGTCACATATAACAGCCACAACAAAAAATATTTTGCAGTCATGTTAGGACTATCAGAAATCCATCTCAAGTTGTCAGTGGTAAAAGATATTTCTAGTTTCCACTTGCTATCCATTAAGGCTCTGTGAAACTATAATCGACACGGTGACTTTTTTTTCCCCTAATATAACTCCATCAGACACAATTTACCTTTGAGAACGAAAGAAGAGCGGCAAAAAGCAATGACAGCTGCCATGACTGAGCTCATCAGAAATGGCATTTCTCATTCACCCTTGCAAAACAACAATGCCAGCCACCTTCAGCAGAACAGATACAACCTGGAACTTCAGCGACTTATTCTTACGACAAATTAAGCTGAATTCTATAAATCCAGCCATAAGTTAATAGCATTTGTTCTACAGTGAGCCGTTACATTTGTATTTTCATTAGACCCTTGTACTGTGTTAATTGAATACCGGATTACACTTTCAGACGGTAACGCCTCAAACAAATTAATTACTTCCTCCTGCTAGAACTTCCGCAGTTATCTGTTTAGATGATGGCTGCTTTCATTTGATCTCATATTTCCTTTTGTCCAACGGTCTACAAATATTTTAAATGCACATACGGCATTCAGTCCCTCAAACTGAAAATGGGAGAAAGAGTGCCTGCAGAGCCACGTACACTGAGGTCAGGGCGTGCGTCACCCTTTATCACCACACACAACCTCGAACCACATCACCAGCAGTCAGACCCAGCAGCAACACTGCTTCCCCAGTTCTAAACCAGCCTCTTTTGGAGATGCTCCTGCGCAGCACATCCCAGCTCTGCACGCCTAAAAACAGCAACGAATTCAAATGAAACCACATCGAAGATGACATCCTTAAGGCGTGCCTTTGAAGCCGCACGAATGACGTTCCCGGATCAGACAGAAACCTCTCACCGGAGTCCCGCGTACGCTGCCGCACACAATTCCACATTTCAGCTTCAGTTAACACTAGGTTTTGGGCAGCCCCGAAGCGGAATTATTTTTAGTACCCTCTGCAGCACAAGTTTAACAAACAAACCCGTGTGAGCCACGCGCAGGCCTCGGTGCAGGCGGGCGTTCTGCGGCTGCCAGACCGACGGTTTTCCCCACCCCACAGACGCTCCCTTAGGAGAGCCCACCCGCAGCAATCCGAACCGAACCGTCCGCCGCCTGACGGCCCGCAGCAGAAGCGAGGCGCTCCTCCCCGCAAGCTCGCTCCTCCTTTCCCCCAGACCCGCCGCCTCACAGGGGCCCGCTTCGTCCCCGCGCGCCTGCACCCATCGCCGCCGCGCCCAGCCCCGCGCCCGGCCGCCCGCACGCCCGCGGAGCCTCCGCTCCTCGCGGCAGACCCTCGCCCTCCCCCACCCCCGACCAGCCCACGCGACGCATGCGCGCCCCGCCCGGCGATGCCCCCGCAGGCAGCGCTCCTCCGCCGGCTGCCCGGAGCCCTCCCCGCGGCGCGGCCGCCCCCTCAGGGCCCACCGGCGGTCACCTCGCTCGGCGGCCGCCTCTTCCCGCGCCGCGCTGAGGCCGCAGTGGCGGCGCCGGAGCCGCGCGCGTAGCAGCCCCGCCCACGGTGGGCGGGCGAGGGACAAGCGCGCAGCGGCGGATCCGCGGCTGGGGCACGTGTCTGACCCTCTGGAGGTGCTGCTGTGCCGCGCGGTTCTGCGGCCCCGGTGTTAATTCAGCCGAGAGCGCCTGTATCGACTTCATCCCGTTAGCGTCACTGGCAGTGCCGCGATGGAGCTGGTTTAAAACCTGCCTCCAGGCGTTACTCAACACCTGTGTGTTTCAGATGACTGTAAAAGATGCCTCGTTTTCTCAGGCTGGGTCTGACCTGGATCTGGGTTCAGTTCCTCAGCAGCACTTGCCCACTGTGTTTTCCTACAGAAATGCCTAAATAAAATGCTGCAGTGCCACATAATCCTAGTCAAAGGAGGGTTCTTGCGATTTTTCTCCCTGATGGATTTCTGATTAGTGCCACTGAAGCCTGAGAAACTGACAGACTGATGTGGCAGGGCCATCCATCCTCAGACACTTAGAAAATACCAAGCTCATGGCACATTTATCTATTTGGCACCTACGCTCTGAGAGTTCTTTAGACTAAAGTGTGTCTTTCAAAGTGTGTCTTTCTCCAAAGTGTGTTCATCCATCCACAAGGGCTGCTCTCCTACTATTTTATGATATTGGCCCATGACATCAGAGGATGGTGTTGGTACAGCAGCAGAGGTGGATCCTTCCCACCAATATCCCATTACATATTGTTACCATGTGAGAGATGGCAGTAGAGGGGCACCCTGACACCATAACGGCCGACACAGAAGCGTGTACGAAGCAAAGGTGGGTCACTGAATTCCTCTGTGCAGAAAAAATCACACTCATTGGCATTCATTGACGCTTGGTGAACTTTTATGGAGACCAAACAGCAGATGTCACACACTGAGGTGGCATGTGGCATGTTTCACCAGTAGTGACAGTGATGTGAAAGATAAGCCATGTTCCAGATGGCTGCATACAGCTGTCACACCATGAAATGAAGAGCGTCTTGATCAGCTCATCCATGCAAATAGGAAGATTATGAACAGAGATGAGTACTGGCTCCTGTGCATTGTAAACAATGGTTGCAACATCAGAATAACACCAAGTTTGCACCAATTGGGTCCCACAAATACTCTCATGGGAACAGAAAGAACACTGTACGCCAGTTTGTCAGGACCTATTGAACCAATATGAGGCTGAAGGTGACCATTTCCTGGATCACATCATTACCAGTGATGAGATGTGGTGTCACCAACTGTGAGCTGGAGTCAGAATGGCCATTCGTCAAATGATGACACGTGAATTCCTCATCAAAGAAAACAAGACACAACACACAGCCTTTAGGAGGTACAGTGATGTCTTTTGGGATAGGAAAGGGGTGATCCTTCTGGATTTCCTGGAAGCCAGACAAACCATCAGATCTAACTGCTACTTCATGACACTGACTAGGCTGAAGGCTCAAACATCCAGAGTTAGACAAGAGAAGGAGACAACCTTTCTTTTGCAGCAAGATAACACCACGCCCCATACCTCTTTGAAGATGGTGGAGCACATTGCCATACCCACCATACAGATAGGCACCTTCTGATTTCCATCTGTTCAGGCTGATGAAAGATGAACTGTGATGGCAACATTTTCCTAGCAACCAGCCTTCACTGGTGTTACAAGAGCAGCGTGCAGGCTTTGCTCATCGCTGGCAAAAGGCACAGATACTGGTGGGGACTACGTTGAAAAAGAGTATTTTGTAACTGAGAATTTGCTCTTTGAAATAGTACTATTGTGCTCTTTGTACCTCTTGTAGTTTTCTTGTAAATAAATAGGAGACATTACTTTCAGATTGACCTATATAACGTGTTATATCCCTTCTGCTTTCAATTTCAGATTCTCAAGAAAGATTTATCTTCATAGTGCCTCCTGTGGGCAACTCAACTAAAAGAAAATAAAGGAATCAGAAAAGTTATACTCCTATCCCCTCACTAGGGAAAAAAAAATTGGCTTTTCCCACAAGGTTTTGAGGAACAAGTATAGGAATTTTCAATCATAAGACATCTTAAGTGGCTTTTGTTGTAAGAAAGGAATGAAGGGAGCAAGGGAGGAAGAGGGGAAGGGAGGAAGGGAGAAAGGGAGAAAGGGAGGAAGGGAAAAAGGGAGGGAGGTAGGGAGGTAGAGAGGGAGGGAGGGAGAGAGGGAGGAAGGATGCACGAAATGCATGAAAGAACTTGAATAATAGAAGTAAGGGCTTCCAGGACAGCTAGTCCTTCTGATGCAGTCATTATTTCTGAGGAATGTGGTGTCCAGAACCATTCAGCTGCTGCGAATGCACTCTGTTATGAATGTACCTCACAGGAAAAAACTGGGTAACACCTACCATATGATACAATGAGAATATAAGCAGATGCACACAGCAGGAAAAGCATACTAAGACATTGCCTTTCTGGATCTTCTTGTTTGTTCTTCACAAAACTACCAGGTGAGCAGTGCAGTCAATACTTACTGCAAGCAACCACAGCAATTTTAGGTCAGTATTACCACAGCATGGGCTTGCAACTTATATCTGATGTTTCAGAGAAAGAGGAGATAGGGAAGATGAGATGAAGTCATTTACACTATGCAAGATTTGGAGTTTTATTTTCTTCTCCTCACAGCACAGATCTCTCACATCCCTGCTCAGAATTTTACAGATAGATGACATGGATGCTGGTAAGCTTGTTAGGCACGGAGTTCCTTGCCAAGGAAACGAAAACTTAAAAATATCTGAAAATTGGAGAACATATGATAAAATGAAGTCCACCAAAACCCCAGGTAAAGAGAACTGATATTCTCACTGAAATTACAGGAATTGGATAAAGACATCACAAGACTTTAGAGTTGCCAGTGTTCTGTAACAGATTAATAACCTTTTTCTTACTAGAACAATAACATATGGTGATTTTTGGTGATTTATTATATAATTTATACTTACCTATAAAATTTGAATTAAGTTTCCAGCAACTTGCTAGAGCAGAAGATGCAATAGATGCACAGTATGAAAGGCAGCCTCTGTTCTGATGGCCTCCTTGGCCGAGGAGGGCTAAGATAGTACCTATATAAAACCCACGCAAAAGAGTGCTGACGACTTCAATTGATTTATATCATTTCATACAATCTCTGATGACGTGAGCCTACATCTTTAACTGAATGAAACTTCACACAATTCCCCCCCTCCCAACCCTGTCTCTCTAAAAATAAAACAGTGGAACTGACCCACTTTCTGCTGCCATCGCATGATCCACTCTGCTTGTGTGATCAATCCAGTGCTTCAAGGGTCTGTTTTCTTTACTTGAGTTAAAAGCTCTTAAGGACATGGTTTGTCTGTTTCAAGTTCCTCTCCTGTGCACTTCTGCTAGAATAAACATGGTTACTATTGCTGATTCATGCTTGTTGACACACGTCAAGCATTCACTAGGGGATACAGCACACTTCAAGCTGGCTTTGAAGCAGGTGGGGTTGAACAGTGATGGCAGCCTAGCTGGGGTGATGCTTGTAGCAGGATTTTCAAGCAGGATGGCAAGATGCAGTCTGCTGAAGCCTGTGCTGTGTCTAAGCCTCAGTTAAGCAGAAAAGACAGTCTATTCAAAACTGGCTAAGATGTGTTCAAACAGGATTGAATACGGCCACTGTACCTAATCAATAGTATTTGGACAAAAGCTAGGGAGGAATCAACATGGTTGCCAGCTGTTGTCATTAGGTAAGAACAGTGGTAAGTCTGTCAACAAACAGATTTCCATTTTCACTTCATCTTTGTTTGGGAGTGGTATTTGTCAGGCATACTTGACAAAGAAAACATGCAGAAGAAATGGCCAAGTTAGCTTGATGCAAATGCCTCTCAAATGTGAAAGGCCATACAACAAAACTAAGTTCTTAAAGCATTCTCAGTTTTCCTCACCCTGGGCTTCTACCACAACTTGTTAATTCTGTTTAAAGAGACTCAGTTACAAAGCATAGCTTGATCTTCTGTCTGGCTTTCAAGAGGAAGCTAAAGCTGCATCATTTTTCCTTCATGCATGCTGTATTATCTCAACCTTAAAGATGTAAGACACCAAAATTATTATCTGCCATTAGTGCTGTGGCTCTAATCTTGTGTTCCACATTCCACCCAGCACTCGGCCCTCACTCCAACCTTCCTGTCAGTGTCATCACTGGTGGTGGGCATTTTTGTCTCAACAGGTGCAGAGACTGAGGGCAGATCAGACTCCCTAATGAGAGAGGAGCTGCTGTGCTTGTGGGTCTGTGCAGGCTTGCAAGCTCCAACAAAGGTGTAGGGATGTGCTGCCAAGGAGCAGGAAGTGCAAGACAAGCCAGAAGCTGGGAGGAGTGGGAAAGAAGCAGAAACGCACATCTACTGATAGGATTGCCTGATTTTTCCCACTTACAATTGAGATATGATATTGAAAAGAATATTAAAAGGCTGGCAGTGAGGAATGTTGTAGCATCAAACTCTGTCAT